CTTATTCTCAAGTATGCCAAGCTTATGTGCATGTGAATGAGTCCATGAGGAACTTTAGTTTTACTTCCGAAGCAACGACTTGGTCGACGAAAGCTTAAGCCGAGGTCGGGGTAGGTGGTTATGAGGAGCACAAAATGTGACAACTCAAATGATCCAATTGAGCTAACAGTCCAATTCCCAAGTCATGCAGGACAATAGTGACTTCGTTAAGCTCTTCTCCTTTGATAATGGCAGCACTTCAGTGATACTCCATTTTACTCTTTCGCAAATGAACATTGTCCACCCTTCACAAGTAGGAACATAACAGTCAGCTAATTTCCTTAAGAGATTATTAAGAAGGCGCAAGCAAATTTGCCATCAATTAGCAGTTACCACTACCCGAAAGCTGTATCCTTAAGGTGGGGACAGAAGAGTTCTGAAATGTCAATTTTTGGAGCATTAACACAGCAGGCTGTACACGGGAGCACTTACATCTCCATTCATACATGCTAAGAGTTAAATACTTGCACTTCATTCGTATATTCCTCACGTCTGCTCCCGCCTGTGGACGTAATTACGCCTTTAGTTGAATCGCAATTTCGCAGAACGGTCATAGAGAGTGTCAACTTTATAAAAGGACAATTTTTAATTGAAGGATCACTGAAGCATTTGCCGAAGGATAATCATTTCGCTGCCCACTATTTTGTCCGTACATTCACGTTCACACTTACGTAGCCACCACAACTAATGGCAATGATTGCATGTACATTCACAATTTAAGTGCTACAAGACATAATAAAATTTTATGTCTGGCGGCTTCCTTTTGATCTGGGATCTTTCGTCAGAGTTGTCTGAATTAGATGACAGTGCTAGTGAAGGAGCACCAGTGGTGGAGAAAGAATAAAGTTTCAAAAATTGTTTTGATGCTCCAACTTACCGCTTTCGGCACCTTGAAATGGTCTGTTACACTACTTTTTTCGTCTCTATGCCTCCCAATTACTCCTGGCGATGGTTAGCTTAAAAACTAAAAGGAGCATTAGGTTGATCAAAGGGGAGATGTGCCTTGACAAAATACTCAGGTAAATTAATCGAGTCTATCAATACCTTTTAATATTATGAGTATTGAAAGAAATCAACAAATCTAAATCGTTGAATCAGTCTTGTTCTTCATGCGTTCTTTTTATTGGCTTTTCATGGGCGGTTACACTCCACATTAGAATGAACATTGTTTTGATGGTCGCGTATTGGAGTTTTATGAACCGTTGGTATTAGAGTTAGTCGTATGGCTATAACGCGTTCTTCTTTTTATTTCCGTGGGTATTTGTGGAACACGAATGTGGTGGGAAAATCGGTCAAACACGGCCAGCCTTGAGACATCAATCATGGACCTGGATAGGAATGTGGACGCTGCACACACACACACACACA